ATACTTATAACAATCACGGGTTGGATAATTATTAACTGCCCTCATTTTCACGAGGAGGAATTTGCGTATAAACGTTAACTAAACAATACATACTGCGTAAAACAGCAATGATTCATTCCTATTTAAGCATTTGATAGTGCAAGCATATAACCACGTAATGTGGAATCTACGTAAATATGACTAACACGGAAACATGCTGCAAAGCAAGGGTTACTAAATGGGTAAGAGGGCTGGGAAAATCCACACTCTCCCCTCCTTGACCAGCTATGCGTCAAGCATAATGCGGGTTTTCCAACTAGCATCCTTAGCAGCTGCGCGTTGCGGCCTAACCCTGATGAGGCTCTCATTCCTTGCATCCCTTTCTCCTGTGGTATTCTTACTTTCCTCGCCATTCTCATTCCTTTCCTTCTTCAACTCGAGAGGAAAAAGTTTCTGTAAAGGTCTATTTAAATAATCTTTCTTACCCTTGGAGCAAGTCCTTACTTTTGCTCCTCTGATAACTCCATCCTTCCCATGAATTAGGTTTTCAATTTGTCCCATTTTCCATTGGTTGCGCTTCAAATTGTCTTCTTTTATCAAAACAATGTCTCCTCGTTGAATGTTTGCTTCCCCTGTGCCTCTATGTCTGTGATGTTCCCTAAGGTCAACTAGATATTCATTTTTCCATCGAGAAGCAAAATGGTTGAGCTTTTTAATGAGATACCAAAACCGTTTTTTGCATATGGCTGCATTTTCATCGACCTCATTAGCATCAAATTCTAGATTATTTGCTAGCAAAGGTAATCTTCTACCATGCAATAAATGATTTGGTGTCAGGGGCTCATAACCAATCTCATCATAAATATATGTCAATGGCCTAGAGTTAAGTATACCTTCAACTTCTAGTAGTGTGGTGTTTAATTCATCCAAGGAAAGTCTTGCATTCCCTAGAACCTTTCTTAGACAAGACTTTACAGATCCTACAAGACGCTCAAAATATCCACCCCACCAAGGGCTTCGCTCAAGATTAAATCGCCATGTTATCCTTTTGTCCTGTAGGAAGGAAAATACTGAAGGATCCTTAGCAAGGGTGCTCAGGAACTTAGCAGCAAATTTGAAAGTTTTAGCATTATCACTATTAATGAGTGATGGTGTACCTCTACGTGCAGTAAACCTTCGCAGACTCCTTAGAAAAGCTGGACCAGATAAATCTATAACTAAATCAAGATGCAATGCTCTTGAGGTACAACAGGTGTAAAGAACAATGTAACATTTCTTCATCTGACCATCTATATCCTTGTAAAAGAGTGGACCGGCAAAGTCAACACCAACATTTGTGAATGGTGGCACATCCTTCACTCTAAAGTCTGGCAAGGGTCCTTCTATAGGTCTATTATATGGCCTTCCTTGTTTATGAATACACACAATACACTTGCTCAAAATTCTTTTTACATATTGTCTACCCCTTGGAACCCAAAACCTGGAACGCAGTTCTGCTAGGGTTGCCTTCAAACCTAAGTGTCCAACTCTGTGGTGGCAATCTTGTATTACAAGATCAGTAAATGTGTTATCTCTTGGTAATAAAATTGGAAATTTTGCTTCTATGTCCAAATCAGAGTTACTTAGCCTACCTTTGCAAATCAACATGTTGCCCTTTTCTACAACGCCTAGTTGCACAGCAAGTAATTTAAAGTTACCTGATTTCTTCATTTGTTCTTGTGTATCTCTGGTCCAATGTGCTTCTGCTTCACATATTTCAGTTGCAGTTAAACCATCTGTTTGCCTTTCTTCCTTTGACAGCCTTATGTTTCGAAGAAAGCGCAGCACATATGCAGAAACCTTGTACAATTTGGCCAAAGTGCTGAATCTTTTAGCATCTATGATATTTCCAAAATGCCTCTCTGAGTCTTGTGCTACTGCTAAAGCATTTGTTTCCCTCTTCTTTTCTTCTTCTATTTCCTGTGAATCAGAAAGCAATAATTGTTTGGGCCAATGTTTTTTCCCCATAACTAACCAATGGGGGCCTTGCCACCACAACCTACTGGTGTTCAATGCACCGGGTGTTACACCTCTGGAGCCTAAATCTGCAGGGTTGCAGATACCTGCACAATGACCCCAGTTCCTTTTATCTGAGATCTGTAATATCTCATTAACACGGTGCTGGACAAATTGTTTCCAGAGCCCTTGATTGTTGATCCAGTAAAGAGCAGTTTTTGAGTCTAACCAATATCTGCATCCATCAATTTTCACCTGAGGGCTCAATGCTTTATAAACAGTGTCCATTAGTGTTGACAATATACGTCCAGACATAAGCTCAAGTCTAGGAATACTGAGTTGTTTCAATGGGGCTACCCTTGTTTTTGCACAAATAAGCCTAGAAAAAATACCATCATCAGTTTCATAAACAAGATAGATCACTGCACAGTATGCATTTTTACTAGCATCTGCAAATCCATGGAGATAGCAAGATTTGACAGTACCTGTTTCCTTACCATATAAGCACCTGGGCAAAGAGATATTTCCAGTTTCTTTTAGATCAGACACAATTCTATCAAAGACTACCTTCTGATCCTTAGGTACCTCATCGTCCCATCCAAGTTTCAAAGTGCAGAGTTCCTGGAAAAGAATCTTAAGGCCTACAATGACTGGGCTTACAAGTCCTAGTGGGTCAAATAGTTTTGCAATTATACTAAGAATGGTTCTTTTAGTTACTTTTACATCCTCATCAATATTTATGAATTTCCTGAAATCAAAAGTGAAGTCATCACTTCCTATATTCCAAGATATACCAAGAACCTTTGTACTATCGTGTCCTTCCTCAGAGCCAAGTGTTTCCTTAGCATATGTTTCTTCAGTGGGAGAAACATTTTGGCTCGCAGTTATGATTTTCTCCTCTTCAAATTCTTTTGCTAGGACAGGATCTGAGGTTTTCCATTTTCTGAGGTTCAATCCAGCAGCCTTCATATGTTCTTTAGCTGAAAGAAAAAGTTTTCTACCGCCTTCCGTATCTGAACTTCCAGACACTAGGTCATCAACATAAAAACTTGTGGCAAGTTTAGTAGCAATTTGAGGATCAACTACTTCATATTTTGCAATATGATATCTTAGCACTGCATTTAGCAAAAATGGGGAACAATTAGCTCCAAATATCAATCTTCTGAACCTATACACAATCACAGATAAATCTTTTGCATTAAAGTCTTCAACCCACAAGAATCTGAGACAATCTCTGTCTTGTGTATCAACTTCAATATTCAAGAATGCCTTTTCAATGTCAGCTATAATTCCAATCCTATTCTCCCTAAATCTCAATAAAATGTCAAACAATAGCGGAGTGAGTGGGGGTCCAACATGAAGGCAATCATTCAAAGATGTACCTGACCTGCCCTCTTTTGCTGAGGCATCATACACCACTCGGAGTTTTGTCGTTTCTGCATCTTGGCGGATTACGGCTTGATGTGGCAAATAGGATGTCTTTGTGGAAGATTCTAATTCTGAAACCTCTTCAATAATTCCATTATCTAACTGCTCCTTGATAATATTGTCATAGCCTTCTAAGATTTCAGGTGTTGCTTTCAATCGGCGTAATTGTGACTTCAACCTGGAAAGACTAACTGAATAATTTGTGGGGATGGGTTTATGCCCCATCTTCCATGGAAGCTTCACAGAGTAACGCTTGCCAGTGAACTCAACATTATCAAGAAAGTCTTCATAAATTTCATCAACTTTATTTATCCCTATTGTCTCCAAATCCCACATTTTGTGTACATCTTTATCTAGAGGTTCATTACAATTAAAAGTAATAGATTTCTGCGGTTGAATTATCAAGTTGACATTAGAGGTTTCAACTGAATTAAGTTTCTTACCTTTCAGCGGACCAGAAATTACCCAACCAAGCTTTGTCTTTATGGCAACTGGTTGGCCTGGCTCCCCTCTTATAGTCTTGCCATCTTGCAAGCTGTGCAGAAAATCTATTCCGACAAGAATATCAACTGCAAGCACTTCTTGTGATCTACAAACATCTGAGAACCATATCTTTTTAAGGTGTTTAAAATCTTGTTTAATTACCTCAACATGCTCATTTTGTACCTCTGAAATATTTTCAACCACATATGCCTCAATAACTCCTGCTTTCTTTCCCTCTGTGGACTCAAGTCTTAATCTCACCACTTCTCTCAATCTCTCATCCACATTCAGGGACCCAAAGGTTTTAATACCTAGCTTCTCCTGGCGTATGGGTTGCAAGCCTAGTTGCTCCTTAACCTGACGCGTAACAAAGGTCTTATGGCTACCAGAATCAAAAAGGACGCGTGCCTTAACCTTCCTATCTGCTTCCCTTACAAGTGCAAGTGCCGTTTGTAGTACTGCTCTCCCCCCATATTCAATGCTACCTAAACAAGAGGTGGTATTAGCAGTACTACTAAAACTATCAGGGGCATTGGGCTGTATGGAGATGGCTTCATGTGAAGACACATAATTATCGCAAATCGAAACGTGGTGTCTACGTCTACATACATTACATAAAACCTTGGTGCGGCAATCGTAGGCTTTATGTCCTCGTTTCAAGCAAAGTAGACAGCGTCCTTGTTTATAAAGAATTTTCTTCCTATCTTCGATTGTCTTGACTTCGCTGCATCCCTTCTCTTCGTGACTGCCATTGCAAAACACGCACGTCCCTTGTTTTGATTTCTGCTCTCCGCCATCTTGCTTTGCAAACAGTGCGCTTGCTGTTGTTGTTCTTCCTGGAATTCTTGGTTTTACGTCAAACCGCTCCTTCGCAGCAGATGGATTCCCAACCTGTTTGAAGAATGACGTATGCTGTTCTCGGATGTCCAGTTCTGTCCTGAGTGCACGTAGCATGTCTCCCATCACCCATTCACGATGACCGCTGATGTTACGTATCATATTCAACTTAACAGCATCAGGGATTTTGTCCATAATCACAGGCACAACAATCGTAGAATACGAGTCTTCATCTACCCCCATGGCTTGCAAGGCACGATAGTGTGTTTCCAAACCATCACATAAGTCTCGTAGCCTCCCAATATTCTTCTCGTTAAACACTGGCGATGCATTCAGCAGCTCGTTGATATGAGCACGCTTAATCAACGTAGGTTGGGCAAATCGTTCCTTTAAGAGATCCAAAGCAATACAATAATTTCTTTCAGTCAAGGAAAATCCGGAAATTACCTTTTTTGCTGACTCCTCCATGTAATGTCGCAGATAGGCGAATTTATCGACCTCTGAAAGCTCTTCATTTTCATGGACTGCACTTCGGAAACCATCCCAGAATTCGGGCCAGTCAATTGGGCGTCCAGAGAACTTCTTCAACTCTAATTTGGGCAGTTTTGCACGAACCTTGTTGAACTTCGTGGAGGAAACGCTGGAATCCAAACTGTCATTAGAAAGAACCGAATCCTGTCGCTGAAGGTTGACATGAGATGGTGGTGCTTGAGGTTGTCGTGAAACCTTTAAATTGTTTTTCAGCTTCATGAGGCTAGTGTCAATCTTCTGTAGAAACTGCCCTGCGTCATCTATTTCTGCCATACATCGACTTCCATCTTCGTCATCATTTTCCGAAATCAGTTCCAAAATTTCCTCGTCTAACTTTCTCAACGTGGCCCTTTTTTCTTCCAATTGCGTTACGAGGCCTTCCAACGTTGTTTCATCATTTTCATCGCCGATTTTTGCTATTATTTGAGAGACGTACCCTCTGTAGCCACCTCTGATTTTTCTTTTCCTTGAGATTTCTTCCATTTTCAAAAAATTTCACCATAGACAATATCCGTTTCGCTCGACGTGGACCATTTGTTAAGACTTTCGCCTATCTTTCGCTAGTTCTACGGATAGTTGTCGGTGTCCAAGAGAAAAGCCAAGAAAAAGAATCCTTTTAGCGTTCAGCAATTTCTATTCATCACATAATTCTCGTTTCTCTAGGCTTGAATACGAATACTACTGATAATTTTACATGTTTTTATATGTTCCAACAAGGAATTACCGAAATATCAACCAATAACAAGCGCTCTTACAATTTACGTAAATTTGTCATGTGAATACTTATAACAATCACGGGTTGGATAATTATTAACTGCCCTCATTTTCACGAGGAGGAATTTGCGTATAAACGTTAACTAAACAATACATACTGCGTAAAACAGCAATGATTCATTCCTATTTAAGCATTTGATAGTGCAAGCATATAACCACGTACTGTGGAATCTACGTAAATATGACTAACACGGAAACATGCTGCAAAGCAAGGGTTACTAAATGGGTAAGAGGGCTGGGAAAATCCACAGCTGTCGTTAGTAAACAATCCATTACTACACATGTGTGCCTCTGTGTGCGATAGCCTTCCCGAAACCCCCAAAGGAGTATGGTCATGGAGCTGTCGTTAGTAAACAATCCATTACTACACATTTGTGCCTCTGTGTGCGATAGCCTTCCCGAAACCCACAAAGGAGTATGGTCATGGAGCTGTCGTTACTAAACAATCCATTACTACACATGTGTGCCTCTGTGTGCGATAGCCTTCCCGAAACCCACAAAGGAGTATAGTCATGGACCTATCAATACTAAACAATCAATTACTACACATTTGTGCCTCTGTGTGCGATAGCCTTCCCGAAATCCACAAAGGAGTATGGTCATGGAGCTGTCGTTACTAAACAATCCATTACTACACATTTGTGCCTCTGTGTGCGATAGCCTTCCCGAACCCCACAAAGGAGTATGGTCATGGAGCTGTCGTTACTAAACAATCCATTACTACACATTTGTGCCTCTGTGTGCGATAGCCTTCCCGAAACCCACAAAGGAGTATGGTCATGGAGCTGTCGTTAGTAAACAATCCATTACTACACATTTGTGCCTCTGTGTGCGATAGCCTTCCCGAAACCCACAAAGGAGTATCGTCATGGAGCTGTCGTTACTAAACAATCCATTACTACACATTTGTGCCTCTGTGTGCGATAGCCTTCCCGAAACCCACAAAGGAGTATGGTCATGGAGCTGTCGTTACTAAACAATCCATTACTACACATTTGTGCCTCTGTGTGCGATAGCCTTCCCGAAACCCACAAAGGAGTATGGTCATGGAGCTGTCGTTAGTAAACAATCCATTACTACACATTTGTGCCTCTGTGTGCGATAGCCTTCCCGAAACCCACAAAGGAGTATCGTCATGGAGCTGTCGTTACTAAACAATCCATTACTACACATTTGTGCCTCTGTGTGCGATAGCCTTCCCGAAACCCACAAAGGAGTATGGTCATGGACCTATCAATACTAAACAATCCATTACTACACATTTGTGCCTCTGTGTGCGATAGCCTTCCCGAAACCCACAAAGGAGTATGGTCATGGAGCTGTCGTTAGTAAACAATCCATTACTACACATTTGTGCCTCTGTGTGCGATAGCCTTCCCGAAACCCACAAAGGAGTATGGTCATTGAGCTGTCGTTACTAAACAATCCATTACTACACATTTGTGCCTCTGTGTGCGATAGCCTTCCCGAAACCCACAAAGGAGTATGGTCATGGAGCTGTCGTTAGTAAACAATCCATTACTACACATTTGTGCCTCTGTGTGCGATAGCCTTCCCGAAACCCACAAAGGAGTATGGTCATGGAGCTGTCGTTACTAAACAATCCATTACTACACATTTGTGCCTCTGTGTGCGATAGCCTTCCCGAAACCCACAAAGGAGTATAGTCATGGACCTATCAATACTAAACAATCCATTACTACACATTTGTGCCTCTGTGTGCGATAGCCTTCCCGAAACCCACAAAGGAGTATGGTCATGGACCTATCAATACTAAACAATCCATTACTACACATTTGTGCCTCTGTGTGCGATAGCCTTCCCGAAACCCACAAAGGAGTATGGTCATGGAGCTGTCGTTACTAAACAATCCATTACTACACATTTTCTTTGAACGGGAAATCTTATTCAGACAATTAGAAATATTTTTAACGCAATAAAACCTATTTTCCTTTAATTGTGCAAACTCAAACTCAAAAATTGTTTTCAGCAAACACAACTGTTATTTACATTATATCGACATAAAATATAATTGCTAGAAAATTAAAAGATTCGAAAATTAAGTAGGTGCATATTTGATTTTCCCGTCATTTTCGTCGTGAGTTTCTCGTCGATTTAACATTAATAATGTTAATAGAACAATGTATAATTTCTCTCAGTCTTTTGTATAATTGTATTAACTGTAAGAGAAAGAAGTGGTAGCGTTTTACACGTCAGTCACAAAAGCGCCAATGCCGACATGTAAAGATATTAACACTTATTTGTAAATTATGTGGATTAGGCGGTTTACAAGGTTTCAGAACTGTGTGTTTCATTGAAGAAGACGATAAAAAGTAATAGAATCCTTTTCCCTTTTTAGCAACAGAAAAGATCGAGGGGTTTTAACAATTCAATTAAGGGTTGTTTTGACTGAGAGAGGGGAAGATAAATGGCGTCGCCTAAGGCGGCTGCAATGTCCCTTTCAGATTTTGTTCAGTCCTTTCGTCAACCTTGTTTTTTCCAGCAACTGAAGGAAAAGAAGGTAGGACACAAATGTATCACGAGTTTGACGTATCACTTGTTCTTGACAGTTGAAACCCGGTCTGCAATGAACGTTTGTTTTCTTTCATTCTCTCTACTTTTGTATGTTGGCGTAACATTGCTTTCATAATTTCATTTTGAACTGCATGGCTTAGGTCGGAAAATATATTTTTTTGCTTCATTATTTATGCATAATTCTTTGCTATTCCTTGGTTGCTGTGTCGCAATCTGAAATGATTTTGCAAGGATGGAAAAACCAAAACACAAGTTAGAATTTCAAATGAAAAGACAGAATTCGACTTCAGGGAAATTTCCATAGAAATTCATTAAAAAAGACGTTATACGACGTAAGATGAGTGTGCAACGGTTTACTGATTTTTTGCATCCTTCCTTCATTGTTTCAATTTCTTGAGCTCTTGCTTTGGGACTCAAATTCTGAGATTTGCAAAATTTTGCAAGCAATATGCTCCAAGGTAGACTTTTTAACATCCGGATGAAATGCCTGATAAAAAACAGATAAAACTAATCATAAGGTGAAAAATGAGAAAAGACATTCATGACAACAAAAAATAAGTTAAACTTCACGTTGCAGTCAAATGGATCAGCGCAAATAGATAGATATGGAAGCAGCAAATTGATGTTACTTTAGTGCTTTACTATTAACTACATGGTTAGTACATTGAAATAGTATCAACCGTTCTAATGAAGAGGAGAAAAGTAATACGGCTGCTGAATGTTTCTTCCTTTTACAAAAACATGTGAAACTTTTACAGAAAAATTCTTTGCAGCATTTAAATGTTGCATTTTAAACATAATTCACAACATTCTGTTTTTTGTACTAATAAGTGCAAGTGTTACACGCAATCAGTTGATAGACTCTGAAACGCTTCCACCATCCATGGAAATGAAGAGACACAAGTCGAACCTCTTTTCAAAGAAATCTCTTTGAAATAATCTTTGATTTACATAACAAAAGTAATGTCATGAGCCAATAACTCTTTGTAACAAGCATTAGTTACTTCATATACCTGCCACCATAGTTGGCTGACTCCTTCAGTTGAAAGTTTTAACTCAGTGCACTCAACTGCAAGTTTCAGAATTGCCAAGGAGAGAACACTGGGCTTTTCCTCTACACAGATGGGCAGATGAAAAGAGTCTTGAAGTAAATTCCAAGCAAATTGTGACACGCCAGCTCTGCTCCACTCAGACAGATCTGCCCACGAACTCAGTGAACTCAGATAGCTCAGCAGATACTAGAATACAAAGAAGTCTTGATTTGCTTTTTCTTCAAAAATCTGATTAGATTCTGATGGTAAATACCTTATAAATACTTTAACGTGACACAAATGCTGTTTGATATTCCAAATAATATGAGCAAATTTATCTAAATATCTGAAAAAATTTAAATGGTTGTTAATTCAGTAGCTTTCGTAATGGTTTGAATTTTCGGAAACGAATGGAATTTGTTGGAAGGGAAAGATATTTTTCTGTGCAATTATTAAAACGTGCAGCGGCTTTGCATGAAAGAGGAAACCCATGTAAAAGCAAATAAAAAGGAATGTGGGTGAGAGCCATTAATTTGAAAAGGAACATGGGGGGAGGGGGGGGGGCTACAGAAAAGTTCTTTATAGAGATTAGACGAAATGATTTAGACATATTTGAAACATGAATATCAATTATTTTTATGTTTGCAATTCTTGAAAGATTCCAGCATTAACCTTTATATTTTTTTGCAATTGAGCCTTATCAACCACAAAAAAGGAACTTTAGAAAATCAATGTTTCTCTGCAAACAACCTCTCCCTTTTATTATTCTTTTACATTTCTAATAGAGCAATTTAAATTTTTTTATCAACGCCAAGAAAAGTTAGTTTTTTTGCCAAATTCGAAAAGTAATGCTAGATGTAGTATGCATCTGAGGCGAAATCAAAATATTTGTGGCAAAAGTCTTCTTATTAAACAAGATTTCAGAAAGCTTGCAGGAAGCTACCATCAAAATTGATTTGCAGGGCTGTGTGAAGGACCTTACGGCATTTTGGAAAAATATCATACTCTGCTTCTGTTTTGAACATGGTAACATTCTTAATATGCAAGCGGCGCTAATTGGGCAACCTCAACAGTCGCGTTTCTGATTGGCCTATTTCAATCCACAACTGGGTATCAGGGTATATATATTTCCTCAGACGTGTCAAGCGAAAAGCTTTAGCAACATTTTTTAAAATATTTGCTTTTATCAAAGCCATTTTGAATTGATTTAAACTATGTTATTTAAATTATGGCCAATTGAATTGGATGTTATGAGGTGAAGGAAGTCAGGATAAGATAGAGAAATTTAACGAGAGGGCATTACGACTAGCCTACAGTAGAAGCCCGCGTGTAAGAATCTACTTATTCAGAGTTTGGCTAAACATGTTCTTACAATTTATCTTTGTACAAAGAATTACTTGCTGAATCAAAAGAATCTACCATACATATCCAGTCAGCTATAATTTTAGCACTTGAAGTTTATAAAACACTTAACAACCTTAATCCTGTTTTCATGAAAGACTATTTTGTACCCAAAAAAACAAGTCATAACCTTCGACTCAAAATCCCTCTTGACATTCCTAAAGCCAGAGCTACCAACAATGGCATCAGATCATTAAGTTTTCAAGGGCTAAAAATCTAGAATTTGCTCCCAAAATAAAAAAAAACAGCACAAAATACAATAGAATTCAAGAGTTTGATTAAAACTTGATGCTATTAAAACCAGTGGATATGCTCTTTTTTCAGTAAATAATCTGTCTAATGCAATCCTTGAAATTACGTTCACTATTGTAAAAACTAACATAAACGTTACCCCGATACTGGACCAAATTGGAGGTCCCACTCTGTGTCAGTTGTGGTAAAATTCTTGAGACTGGGTACCGTAGAGCCTGGATGGAATTAGCCCCTCTTAATTAAAGAAGCTTTGGCTGGGGCTATTGGATATCAAATTTTATTTTCAGTCTTTTGATCATGGACCGAAGTGGTATATTTACTGAGCTCCGATGCAGGCTTATTACGCGGAAAAATTTGACTTTTTAAGATAGGATTTATTCAAGGTTAGGAATTCCAGAGTGGAAATTAAAAAGGGGGCCAATACGAGGGAGGGACAATTTTTATAGAGACGCTTGAATAAATGACAAGAATATTATAGAGAAAGATATCATAAAGAAAGGAACACTTCCAAACTTCTCTTGTAACCAGCTTATCTTCAGGTACATATGGCAATATATTTATGCAGTCGGATGTACCTAGTGGCATGATTATGCGACAGTGTATGAATGTGGCATGATTATGCAACAGTGTTTGAATGTGGAGTCAGCCAAATGTATCATGCTTATTGCTCGCCAAAGAATCCTTTGCAATGAAATATACAAAGAGCGAGCAAGTTAAACCCTCCTTTTTATTATACAACTCTAAATTACGACATTGACATAATCCTTTTGTACATAAAATAGCTTCGCCAACGTTTGCCTCAAGTGTCCTTCCACCAACGATCTGCTGATATCTTTCCACTTTTGCGCAAACGCCTGTACGCCTTGATCTTTAGGCCTATGGCCACTATTCTTAACCCCGTTTTATTAGCCTGCATGACCTGCCGTGCCTTCAGATATCATTGAAAGCCTATCATTGAAACGTGAAATTTGAATAGTTTTTTGGTGGTAGAGAACTTGAAAATGGCTTTGAAAAAAGCAAACTAAGTTTCGTCTGACACTCCCCAGAGCATAAAACGTCAGAATAAGGGTCCGAAAGAACACGATGAAAAATATATACCCAGTTGTGGATCGGCCAACCCGAAATTAGCCAATCAGGAAAACGCAAGCAAAAGACTGGTATAGTTGACCAATCAGGCAACAATCAGGCGATTTGGAAAGCCAAGTAGTCAGAAATGTGCTTTTAAAAGGGAGAACACCACTTCCTCACATTTTCAGTTATTGAAACTTGAAACTTTTTTGTGACGTATCATCCTCATCTTAATATAAAGGTAAAAAATCAATTCTCTAAACAATAAACATTTTTTAGGACTAGATAAATTGATATCGGTTGGCAATTACCCAAATGATCAATCTCATAAATATACAAACTCCTAACAATAGAGGTTTTATGACAAAGGACTATAAATACCTTGTGAGGACTGTCAAAAGAAACTCTGAATTGGAATACTCTTAGAACAAATTGTTCACAGCTAAGAATGCTGTCCCGGAGACACCAATATTGTTCTCCAATTTCTAATGGTGGATCATGTATGTGCAGTATTCTGCGAAAAAATGAATATACATGTAATTCACACACAGTTTTTTTCTAATTCATTTCATTCAACCGAAAATAACAACATTTATTTAGCAGCTAATTAAATTTACCTATAAGAGCCTTACATACAGTAATACTAGTCAGTTTAGCATTTTGCGAAAATAAACATGTGCATGACAAACAGGTGAATAAATCAATTAAGATAAAATGAATATGGTACGAGGAGTACAAAAAAAATATCATCAAACTTAAAACTAGATTGCTAATGCTATCAATTCTAGGAAGAAAATGCAAGCCTAGGCATAATCTTGGCATCAAGTAGAATGAAAAACCACCACTACAATACAGTTACTTTAAAATCCTTGGGGAGGGATGGGAAGGGATTCTTATCTGCAAACAAGCTATTATACTGACACAGACTTTACAAACTATTTATACTGACACAACTTCACATGCAACAACCACTTGAAATCACTATCACTCTTGCATACGCAACTCTATTGTAACCATCTTAAAGACTCTTTTCTCTTTCTTTCTCCTGGGATTAAAATTCAGTTATCATGATTAAGCCGTGCCTTTCTTTAATCATGTCGTCAAAAATTCTATTTTACCAGTCAAAAGATATTATTTACCAACTTAAAAGATAAAATAATTTATATCGGCTTAAGTTAATTCTGTATTGTAGTAGTTCTATGTATTTTTAATTTCACACCATTATAAACATGAACTGAGTACCATAATAAACAAACATTGATTAATAGAAATTTCCACATATGCAGATATGCAGAGGCCGAATAGATCTGTGCAAGCCATTGCTATGCCAAACTGCACTGTGTTAGGTCATTGCTAGTTACACCATTGCTACACCAACAGATAGGACAATCCTACCCCAAAAGGTATGCCAATGGTTAAGGCCACGTTTTGTCACAACCCTACCCAAGCATTAACCACACCACTCAAAAGGGCGTGTAGAAAGCCTAATAAAAGTTTGTACATAGTTGTTGAGGCAAAATTCGATTTTTCGAAATGGAGAGCTTTAACCATTACATTAAGAGCCTTATGTCCTCCTAAATCAATTTCACAGTTGTAGTCACAATGTCTAAGAGCAAATAAAACTTCATCAACATAGAAATGAGGGGATTGGTGGAGTGCTTTTATAATTTTTGAAAAAACATGCTTTCAACCATGACTATTATCTGGGATTGTAGCCAGGGGCGGAGTGTATTAGGACCATAAAAGTTTTTGGGGACAAAACATGTTAAAACCCAAGTGTATGACAATCTTTTGCATGGTTTTGGAAAATAGTGGGGGGGGGGGACAAAGTGGTCCCAGAGTGTAGCTGCCCATGTCACATTGTAGAAAAACCTCTCAGCACTGCTCTAACTTCAGCAACAAGTACATTAATATTTATTGATCAAATTGGTGTGTAGGTCACCTGTAGCAAACATTGACTACATCCCTTATCTTTAATGGCTCTTCCTCAATTTTTGATGCAATATAAATTGATGTCGAAGCAAGGACCTGGAAAGAAAAACAAAAATGAATGATCAGATATATGTGGCTTTTTGTGCATGTAAATCAGCCCCAGGGATCATTTTTGCTGTATTTTGCTGTTTTATTAAAGCATCTTGTAATTATTAATCAATATTTGATGGGTGTAGTGACCATTTTCCAACTGTAATAATTTCATCCATAGTGAAACTGTCTTTTACATCTTGTATTGTCTTTTTGATATGTAGGGACCATTCTTTAACTGTAAATGTCTTCTGTTGTATCGCTGTCACTTTATCCTTGTATTGTCTTGGTATCCAAAGTAGTGCAGAACTTTACAAAAGAATTTCACAAGGCAAGTTTTAATATGGGAAAACATAAAAAAACCAGCAGCATCCTAGCTACGTGCCTAATTCTTTGTTTCACCTCTAGATTATCAGTAGCCAGTTCTTCACCTTTTTACAAATTTGTTTATCATCAAATCTAAATCATTTCCTATTACAAAACCCCCTGTAAGACTAAAGTGCAATTTTGTCAGAAAATGTCTGATCTTGTCAGAAAAAAAACATTGGTTTTACATGTCTTGTCTCAAAATGTGACATTTTGAAAAAATATAATATAACAATTTCTTCTGCTTTTTTGACTAAATTGGGAAGGTGAAATTATCCCTTTCAATTAGGTAAATAAAAGTAGAGTTCTTGCCTTCTAAGGGTGCTTTGTCAGTGAATTCTCACACTTTTCACTAAGTAAATGTTTCACTGACTGTGTTGGCTCATGGGGTCTAAGCACTCCCCTTGAGGACAGCCTGAACTTAAATTTACCTGTTTATTTAAAAAAATGTGTAGAATCCTTTAGTTTAGACTAGGGTCACTCCATGTCAAGTCGCCAAGAAAAAATGAAAATGTCAGCCACCATCTCAGTTTTCATATATTATGTGCCAACATATGTATGTTCATATATGTTCATATATTATGTGGTTAGAATAGAACATTCTTCCAGACATCTTTAGTACATTTTGAGATATTTTAGTAGGATCTTTCAAGAATTTTGAAATTAAAATGAACAAAATCTGTCATTTTGAATGTTCATACAGAGGACACCTATAAACCTAATTCTAATATCTGAAAAGACAATCTGATGAGAACATATCAAATGGAATTATTTAAACAAATTTAGCTTTGAGGATTCCAAAAATGATTTCAAAATGAATGATATCAAAGACAGGCATCAAAGACTGACAGACATCAAAGATTCTATTTACATGCTACCAAGACAAAAGTGTTGGTACACCTGCAAAGTTACTCAATGACAGATCACACAAAAACTTTTACTGTTGACTGATTAAGCTATTGTTTAATTAGCCAATGGCAATAAAACAAGATAGCAATTGCCAGGAAGAACAATCTTTTTCATTTTTCTCACTAATGACTTTCCTTGTTGTTTCCTAAACTCTAACTATTTTTGCAATCATTTTCTACAAAACTTTCTGAAATCTTCTGAATCAAAAGACCATTTACCCTAAGTTTTATCACAACTTCTCTCTCATTGTCCTGTTATTACTTTGATTTCACCACTGCTACCATATTTTCTTGTAACTGCATAATTTCTTTTCTAATATGGAATCTAAAAATATTTCAAAATCCTCAATAAAATTCAAAGAATTTGACTCCTTGTTTAGCACGTTTATGTTTCCTTTTGAGAGGAATGTTACAGCTTAAAGCCGGTTTTCAACTAGGTGGAATTTTCCAAGTGCAGCAGAGCAGCCTTTGTATTTGCATTGCTTATTTCTAACAATGGCTGCTTCTAGTTTTACAGCTTGACTTCAACTTTTCTGCCATGTCCTATGGCACCAACCAATCAAATCGCTCAAAACATGACTATGCTCAAAAGTTTGACACAAGAGGGAAAATCCAGAAGCATTCAAATCATTACTTGGGCATTTCTAGTGACTAAATATCTTGAAGTACCACACAACCTCTCACTTTCATATATAGGTTCTCAAATTTTTTGCTTTTTTCCCCAAAATATTTGAAAAACAGTTCTTGATCAAAGGTCATTGTTTGTCCATTCTACTTTCAAAATAGTGTCTAGGGTTATTGTTTCCAGTTGAAATTGGAAATCCTTTTCCATGTTAGTGCATTGTTTCATAAATTGCCCTGGCATACATGGCTTCATCAGATGCCAGGCAAAATATTAGTATTCATTAAATCTCATTTCATTTGATGTTGTGTTGCTTTTTTCCTGACTATTTTTCGAAAAGTTATAAGTTTGCAAAACTTCAGTATTTTTAGATGCCATTTTGATTCAGGAGTAGCAATACTTTTGTCCTGGTAGTGTAGAAATACCAACAGGGGTTGTAAAATTGAAAGACTCCCAAAAGATTCCAAATTTAGTTCTTGTAGTTAGATTTGAAGTATTGAAATCAAAATAAAAAACTGTGACTTGGTGTCTCTTCTTGTTGAAAGTAGCTGCCATTCAACTGGCAGATTTCAACGATAAAAGGTGACCTATTACTTAAGCACTACAAGGAGTTTCTTCCAAGAGTCACCGTTTCGAGAGTCAAGAGTATAATATATTTGCAGAAACCTTATTTAATGGAGAAGACTAGAAAAGTACTATCACAGTATGATTAATGCAACATGAATTTATATGGATCACAAGGTTTTTTCTGATTTAGTTACGTTCTATGGCCTGATATCGAATTGGAAATAATGAAAAATGTCAAATGCTAGGCCTGGATCAAATGTTGCATTTTACATGTGTCAAATACAATGCAATTATATTCAACTTGCATGCAATCCAAATATCAAATGTTGAATTAAATGTGTTGAATAAAATAAAATTGCCTTTTTGAAAAGGTGCACATAATCAAGGCTAGTGACAATAGAATCTAGCCATGTGCAAAAGGTGCACAATTTGCACAGTACAGAACTTATACAACAACTTGCTTTGTTACGTCTTCCCTCAGATTGTTTAAAACACTTCTGATCCATCATCTAGATAACAGTGTTTAGCTCTCTCAGAAAACAAACATCTTGTTCCAATTGAATTTGTGTTAATCTTGTTGGAATCTGTGGCAAAATGGCACCAATAAAAAATGTACACAGGGCCATGTTATATTATCAAAATATAGACGGAAAATGATAGAACAAGCACTATATTGCGAATGTAAGAAGACATATTTTATTACAAAACTTGTATCATGATCCTTACCGGTTTTTTATCCACCTTGCAGAAGACTTTAACGGGCAAATACAGGGTGTTTGAAAAATGTGTAGGAAGAGTACAGTGAAAAGAGATCCAAACAGACATTTAGAATGAACATTTAAAATATATCTTTCAAGGAATATTTAGTATGCAACGCATTTGGAAACGATCCAACACAGGACGTCTTCATTTTCATTGGATATTTAGCAGAAATGGCAGATTGCAAAACCACAAGAAATACAAGTGTATTTTGTGCACTTTGGGCATGAAATTCAAATATCGGCCATCATGGAAGCTCTCAAAAACTTAATTGGCAAGGACAATCAACTTTTGAGTGCTTGAGGCAAGCCATAGTACGCATGCTGAGTCTCGAGATCGGCTTGTAACTAATTATTCTAATGATGTACTTAACTATGCATTGTATTCGACACATAAAATGCAACGTTTGAATTGAAGTCGCACCAATGTGGCATAATGCGACATGGTATGTCGAATAGAATCATTGTAGTTCCATCCCATTCCATTCCATATTGATAATTCAAACTTTTAATTACAATATACTGATAATGCGATTCAATAAGCAGAGTTTTAGATAAATACTTTTATAGTCTACAGTACCTCATTGTAGTCTGTAGGGCGCCATTGCTTTTGACAACAAGGGAGACAACTATGCAATTTGCGGTGAAAACAATGATAGATTGAACATGCAGAATGTATTGTAACAGACGATAGGCTCAGACGCTTTGAAACTTCAAATATTAAAGAGGTGTCCTCAAAGTGATTTTCCAAATAGGACCATCCGCCGTTTTCGCACATTCTCTCTCCTGTGCTCTCGCCAAACTGGCTGTTTTGCTACCACCACTAGTCTGGGCTGTTAGAACATGAATCGTGCCAATTGTGATACCAGCATGAAAATGGGTACACTGAGGTAATTTCACACGCTCATGACGATGCCGAAAAATGCCCCCAAGTGCTATTTTTAGACTGGGGGTACTTGGCCCCAGTCCTCGAATTGGGCCAATCTCCATATGTCATTACTGATTTATAAAAAAAGGTGGGAAAGGAAAGATTTAGGTGCATTATCATATATTAAAATGTATTAAGAGAAAAGGAAATGAAAAATTGCCCTTTATGCTATTTTTAGAATATGAAATTGGTACCCATGTCTCTATTTAGGCATTAATCTCTAAATAATTACTCTCTTTTATGTGAATATGAAATGAGGTTTTCTTCATTTTTTCAACAAACTGAAAAGTAATAAGAAAAGATGTAATTGACAATCTTACCCCTTGATGCTATTTTTAGAATGGGGTACTGGATCCCAGTTCTCGAATCTGGGTTCTACCTTCATAGTCTAGGCTCTAAGCACAGTATTTGACATGAATTGTGCAAATTGTGGTACCAGCATGAAAATGGGTAAACTGGGGCAATTTGACATGTCGATAATGATGCGTTTTATTCTTGTTATATCTTACTGTTATTATTCAAACTTAAAATCGTTATTATAAACGCGTCAATTTGGATACATGGCTCGATAGCTTGCCCAAAGTTCTTTCCATGTGTCCATCAGCCTAAAATTGTTTAATTTTCATTGCTGAATTATAAAATATTGCGGTTGACCATTCATTGTTATTTAGTCAAATTAACTTGGATATTGTATATTTAGTAAAAGTATGTAAACCAGTATATTGTAATTAATCAATTTTATGTTAAAAACAATATTTTGAGTTTGAGTTTTGAGTTTGAGTTTGATTCAAAAGCTGTGGAATCAAAGTTGTCTCTGATTGGTGCAAATTGTTTAATTCTCGATCAAGCTCAACGGTGCGTGAATTTCATTCCCATGAAAATAAAGTTGAATACAATAGGGGACAGACTGCCTGTCATGACCAAAACAAGCAATCCTCACTTCAATAATTTCCCTTCTTATGTTTGTCTATCTTTATCTCTAATCATCTATCTATTATCAAGTAACCAGTGTCACCATCATACTTATTCCATTGCAAACAATCTTTTGGTGGTACAAAACTTGTAAATAGCTTTGAAAAAAGCAAACATTTAGTAAACTAAAGCTTTTCGTCTGACACTCTTCAGAGTTTAAAACGTCAGAACATAGATCGAAAACTCTAGGCTAAGAAATATATATACCCAGTTGTGGATCGAAAAAGGCCAATCAGAAACACGAGCACATGACTGTAAAGGTTGACCAATCAGTGCCGCTTGCCTATTAGAATGTTACCAATGGAGTCCTAAGGTGAAAACGAACTCCTTTTGTCTACACAGTAGCGGTTTTTTCGTGCTTATGTAGATAGATACTAAAACTGCTAGGTGGAACGACGATCGGGCTTTACCAATAATCCGAAACATGTCGCCATTATAGTTTTTTGCACAAACTGGGTTTTCTAGCAAATGCTGCCCGATAGCAGAATCGCAGGTCTTATTAGTAATTTTGGATTTGCAAGACCGAGGTGGCTGTTCTCTTTGGGAATGTGTTTTGTTTCTAATATTAGATGGAACGTGTTGTTTTATCCTATCCTCCAATCTTTGGGTGGTGCGTCCTACGTAGCCAGAATCACACTGGCACGTGAATTCATACACAACAGAACTTTTTTTTGTGGCAGGAACGCAGTCCTTTTGAATGGACGGAAGGGCCTTTTTTGTACTGTAAACAACACGTGGGTTAACCGCGAAGAAACAATTTGTTATGGCCTGTTTTATTTGGCTTTCAAAACGTAGGGAGCTGTTACCGATCCAGGGTAGTTTTAGATAGACCGGGCACTTTTGAGGACCAAATTTTACGTCAGCCGAGAAATTTCCTATCTTCTCCTTAATGTAAACTGAAATAACATGTTCTGGATAGCCGTTCTCCAGAAAAATCTTAGTTAGTTTTTCAAGTTCCGAGTCGAGTTTAGACTTGGAACAAATCATCAGTGCCCTATGTGTGAGCGTTTTGATGAGGCTGATTTTTCTTTGTTTTGGGCAAAACGAACTCCATCGAGTGTATAACCCCGAAAATGTGGGTTTACGGTATACACTGGTGAGAAATCCAGTGTCAGATTATTCAACCAAAACATCAAGAAATGGCAAGGAGTTATTTTCTTCCTTTTCAAATGTAAAATGTAGGGCTGTGTGAAGACCATTAAGGCGTTTTAGGAAAATATCACACTCAGCCTCTGTTTTGAAAATAGTATATGTGTCATCCACATACCGAAAATAGACACCTGGCTTTTGGTCGCAGTCAAACAAACGCTCTTCATGAAAGCCAACAAAGATATTGGCCAATGCAGGTCCCAGAGGGCTACCCATAGCGACACCATCCTTTTGTTGGTACATTTCATTGTTAAAGCTGAATTCAACTGAACGTGTTGCAGTTTCCATCAGTTCAATGAATACTTCCTCTGGGAATGGTGGGCTATTAAGCTCGCTCCGGTACAAAGCGTCGGCACATATTTTGATGGTCTCATTCAAAGGGACATTAGTGAAAAGACTGCTAATGTCAAAAGAACACATGAAAGATGTTTCGTTTTCGATGTTCAAGTTTTGCATGAACTCAGCGAACGTAAAAGAGTCCTTGATACAATGTTTTGAATATTTTTGAAGAACAGGGTCCAAAACTTCAGAAAGCCACTTAGCCAGTTCGTGTTGTGCTGAACCAATCATAGACAAAATGGGTCTAAGTGGGACATTCGGCTTGTGTATTTTAGGGAGGCCATATATATTTCTTAGCGTAGAGTTTTCGATCTATGTTCTGACGTTTTAAACTCTGAAGAGTGTCAGACGAAAAGCTTTAGTTTACTAAATGTTTGCTTTTTTCAAAGCTATTTATTCCATTGCCTTTTAAGTAAAAGATTTAACAACATCCACTTCTTCTATTAGCTCCCCTTTCCTATTGAATTTGCTGACATTTTTTTAAAATTGGCCAACCTGAACACCCCCTTCTATTAGCATCCCCCTTCTATTGAAAACTGACCGACGTGAACACCCCCTCTATTAGCACCCCCTTTCTATTGAAAACTGGTCGACATGAACACCCCTCTTTCTGTTAGCACCCCCTTCTATTGAACATTGGCTGGAATGAGCACCCCCCTTCTATTACCTCCCCTCTTCTATTAGAGACACTAGAGTATGGAGGAGGAGTCAACCACAAAAAAATTTTGTGAGTCAAATGCATAAATCCGCGAATTGCCCCCCCCCGAATAAGCCCCCACTGCTACCGAAAATTCTCGAATTGAACCCCTCAATTTGACGATTTTCGCAATTTGAGGTTACCTTCAGCGTTTTATTGAATTACCACAACAAATTCATACTTTTGGTAGTGATTAATTAAATGCTCACAAAGAAATTTCTGCTAAAATAAACGAAAATGGGAAAATATTTAAAACCGTGCCCTTTAGAACCTCGAAAAATGCATGTAATGTGGTAAAGAAAATGTTTACATATGAAAAAACCAACAGTAAATTAGGTGTTCTTGCTCACAACGTGAGCTTTTCTACGTGCATTAACGTTGACAAAATCCTTCATAAGCTTTGTTTTGTCAATTTTCTTTGCTTCCTTGTTCTCAATTGACAAAGTTGCTAGGTCGTCCAGTTTCTCCTGTGACATTGTAGATCTTAGATATGTCTTTATCAGTTTCAACTTTGAAAATGATCTTTCTGCCGATGCAACAGTTACTGGCAAAGTGACGAAAAGTGTTAATAGTTTGTACATTTCTGGAAAGGATGAACTAATACGGCTCTGAAGCACGAGGTTATTAACTTCTAGAAGAGTTTTCTTGACTGCAATCTCCTTTCTGAATTCGGTTGCAAATTATCTCATTTCAGAATCTAATTCATCTGTAAAGTCATTACTCGTACTGCATTTTCAAGCATGTCAGGACTCAGTGTTGCCAGGTTGTTGGGGTAGAGACAGCTGAATAATGACGTCACCATTGCTTGTTCTTTAACCTTTCTGTCAGTTGCATCAATGCTGTATCAACAGTCTTGTAGAAAACGTTTATCTTAAAACTTTGCTCAGGATCCATCAGTCCTCCATCTACAACAGGTTCATCTGATTCATATCTTGCCTTCCGACCCCTCTTTTGTTGAAACTCTAGCGATCCATCACAAGATTTTGCAAGTGCTGTGGCAGTCAGCATTATAGACTGCCATGATTCTCGAAGATATTGGAGCTCCGAGAGTGCAATATTAAGGTGTCTAAAGGCAACTGACAAGTCAATCCTAGGGGACTGAAGCTCCTTTGATACTGCCTTGACTGATCTTAGTATTCTCTCCCAGAATACAAGGAAAATAATAAATTCCAGTGTGTCAATTTTTTTCTTTAGACTTTGCGTTTTCACGCTCATTCTTGTTGTTGGATGTTAAGATGAGTCGCGTCAGAAGCCTCATTATCTGGGGATACTTGTCACGCACAGCTCGCACTGCATCAATGCCAGAGCTCCAACGTGTCGTACATAACTTTTTTAGTGTCAGTGATCCTTTCCCAGATTCGATTCCAAGATCTCTCCATCTATTCAAGGAAGAGCCAAAAAAACTGAAGATATCTCGAAGGGTAGCAAAAAAGTTTTCACTCATAACGTGTGATTGCCCACCTAATAACAACG